TGAACTGCAGATAACAGTCAGCTGAAGTGGCTTGCAGTACTGCACCCTAACCACTGCGCCACCTCGGGTTTACATTGCAATTCTATATATACCTTTGTCAAAGAAATGTCCGCTGATAAAATAGAAATTACATCTTTAGTTCCATAACATCGTGTTTTGACAACGACATTGCACAATAATATGAATTACTTGGATTCTTCAAATCATATGAATTGGCAAGAAAGAAAGAAAATACCCTTCAAGCATGTTTCTGAGTTTTCTCTCTAAAAATGTCTTCAGGAAGGGTGTCTTCTTATTCTCTTAATATTAATGTCATATGTGGTAGCATTATTGGAACGAATAAAGTTTCCCCCCCTCTCCATGATCTCAGGAGAACTGTCTATTCATGGTTCCTGTTTTAATTTATGTTCCTTTGAGAGAACATCTGCCACTTTTGGTTCTCCACTATTTAACTCTATGCTTCCTTGTTATTTTTGCCACACATGTAATATCCATTGATGTTGCAGACAGAGTACATTTTGAAAGGTTTTCTCCTTCAGTTCAACTGCCATTACTTTTCATTAGGTGCCACAGCTTATTTTGACTAGAGCCATCATAGTAGGACAATCCTCTGCATGTCCACTTCAGGGCTTATGGGTCCACACTGTTTTGGAGTAAAGATCTATCATGAATGAGGTTGAGGGCCACTAGGAGAGGCTGCGAACCCTAAGGCTTCAGAGTCTCCAATATGCCACCATATTTGGAACGTGTTTATAATAGTAGATCTTTAAATTGTAAATAAGCTTAAAGGAGATATGCAAAAAGGCCTCTGAATCTTCACCCCTGAATCTAACTTTATCTATAAATGCTCCCTAATCAATGTTAGGATCTCCTCCTTCTCCTCCTCCCCCCTCTCTTTCTCTCTTACACACACACACACACAGACACACACACACACACGTGTGAGGGTTAGCCTCTGCAACTCCTGATGCCTTGACACAATATTAGGGGTATCTAAATTCCTTCTTTCTAAACTCCTTTAGCATCCCATAGAGTCAGTTTCCTAGCAATATCTGGTCACTGTTTTTCTTTCCCATCATGCCCCATATTGGCCCTGCACCAGAAATTACAGGGAATTAAAATATTGGCTTTGTACAATTGACTGCGATCATCCAGTTCTGAGTCAGGAAAAAAAAAAGTTAAGTATCCAGAGTAGGCATCATCGGATGTTGGCATGAATAATTCAGTTGCAAAGGTCTTGAAGTCTTTAGGGTCATATTTCCTGCAAGTTAATAGCGATTAGGGTGTGTTCATCACGAAGCAAAGGAAGGTGTCATCATTGGCAAATGGTAATTGAGAAGGAGATGAGTTCTAATAGCAATAGCACTTAGACTTATATACCGCTTCATAGTTCTTTACTGCCCTCTCTAAGCAGTTTACAGAATCAGCATGTTATCCCCAATGATCTGGCTCCTCATTTTATCGACCCTGGAAAGATGGAAGGCTGAGTCAACCTTGAGCCGGTCAGGCTCAAACTCCTGACAGTGGTCAGAGTTATTTTGCAATACCGCATTCTAATCACTTTGCCATCTTTCTTTCTTCTTCTTCTTCTTCTTCTTCTTCTTCTTCTTCTTCTTCTTCTTCTTCTTCTTCTTCTTCTTCTTCTTCTTCTTCTTCTTCTTCTTC